CGTGCGTCTCCCCGCAGCGCTGTGTCTGGTCCCTGCAGCTCGGTGGCGGCTCTGACCGAGTGCATGAGGAACAAACAGCAGGCGAAGTTCTTCCGCGAGCGCCAGGAGCAGATCGGCCACGCGCTGCCCCTGGGCTCCTACCTGCTCAAGCCAGTCCAGAGGATCCTCAAGTACCACCTGCTGCTCCAGGTAAGTGGGGGGCGCCTGCCCCCTCCCCACTGCATGGTTATTGCAGTGCTTCCCTCAGCCACTGCACAACCCCCCCTAATACTACGTGGCCATTGCAGTGTCTCTCCCCCCCCCCCCCAGATCTTCCCACTGCATGGCCATTGCAGTGCTTACTTCATCCACTGCACAGCACCCCCTCCCCACTGCATGGCCATTGCAGGGCTCCCTCATATACTGCCCAGCACACACACCCTACTTGGCCATGGCAGCACTTCGCTCACTCACTGCACGGCACCCCCCCCACTGTATAGCATCCCCCCCACTACCATTGCAGTGCCTCCCTTCCATTTCACTGCACGGGTATTGCAGTGCTTCCCCCATCCACTGCAAGGAACACCCCCCTTACTGCATGGCCATCAGTGTTGCCTCCCCCCTCCTTGCGTGGGTATCGCAGTGCTTTCCTCATACACTGCGTGGCCGTTGCAGGGCCTCCCTCCTCCCACTGCATGGGCATTGGGGCATGGCACTCCCCCCGCCACCTGGTGCCTCTGTTCTGTTGCTTGGGCATCCTAGAGTCACGGCCTCATGACACCGCCTCCCTCCCCTACTGCGGCACTCACGTCCCCTCCCTGCATTCCCACCGCGGCAGCATCACAGGCCTGCCGGCCCTCCAGGGACACTGCAGTCCCCTTCCTTCCCTCCATCCCGGGCACCTCATCCCCCCCAAGCTGCAGGGCTACACACTGAACCCTAGAGGTGCCCCCCAGCTCAGCCCTGCCTCCATGCTCCTGCTTGGCAGTGCTCGGCCGGGGCTGCAGCCTGGGGAGGGCGGGGGGGGCGGGGCGCA